TTTTCTATCACGTAAGGATTTTTTAAAAATCGGGAAGAAAAAAATCAGATTTACAAAAAATTCACCACAAATATAACAGAATATGTTTGGGTCATTTACACAATTTCTTGTTGCCATAGCGACGAATAAATGATATTAAAAAAAACAATGTGAAAGTACACGCACAAACAAATACTATCAAAAAATGACACCTTATGCGGTCTGTTACCCGTTTATATACTAGCAGTGTGTTTCTCGTTATTTCTAGAACGATAGATAAGACTCTCACGTCTCGATTGGTCTAGAGAAATCTATAGCCAGTGGTTGTCAACATTTTAAGAATAATATAACGTGACCCGATTTCAATGAAAATGATTCACTTATGTAAACGTACATATGACGTTTTGTGAAAAAATCTGTACGTGATGGAGAAAAATGAATATCATTTTCGGATTCAGTGTACAGGAATTACTGTAGAACATGTAAAATTTCAAGACAATAAAACCATCGCAGACCTGTGTTATCGTCTGAGCTTGTTATAGTAAAAAAAACAAAAAAAATTAAGACTTGCCTATCGTTTAAAAACTCGATAAGTTTCAGATCTTTTAAAGGGGTGGTTATCAAATATTTATTGACCAATATTTAATGATTTACAATTAATCTTCTAACAAATGGATCTTATAAACAGCTCTGGAGGGTAGACGATTTAATCTCTTCCCCCACACGTTAATAGAATTTATGGAAATAATTTTTCCTGAGAAAAACAGCGAAACTTCTGACATTTAAATAAGTTTAATGATAAACTGTTTTCCAGATTAAGCCTAAAATATATATTTTTACTCTAGTTGACAAATGTCTTTATAAAAAATGAGCAAGGTCTAAAAAATAAAACATCCTCTGGTGCATTCTTTTAGACAAGTAGATGATTACGTAATACTTTATCGTGACAAATTTCAAAAGCTAGTGTTATTAATGAAAATATATGCAAGGCTTAACATATATTTGAAAATATATTATTCGTTTTGGTTTTGTTTTCAGTTTCTCGTTCATTTGTACTACTGACATGTTTGGCTTTACTGGTGTGTTGTTGGCTGGTACAAGGACGCTATTTACCAACAAGATCTGATAAAAACAGAAAAAGCCGATTAAAGAAGTACTGCGAGAAGTGAGTACGACTATTCAACATATTAAACACGTTTTTGTATGTTATCAGTAACTTCGAAAATCTAGTTTTAAGTTTTTATCAGCACAATCTTGATAATACTCCTAGTTTTTATTATTATTCAACATTGGCTATTTTTTTGCCTTATTCATAAGTGGAAGAAATAGATAAGTAAGCTTTCTCATTTCTTATAAAACAAAGTATTGTTGTTATGTGATTCATGCTGTTCTCAAATTTGACAATAGATGGCGATGGTGCACTAAGCAGCCAATGCTGTAATACCTTCGTTGCTACTTAATATTTCCCGTAAAATATTCAGTTGGAGCTTAAAGCAACAAGTATGTTTTCTTACTCAAAAATAAATGTTTAGGTTAATAAGGAAAAGAAATCTACACGAGTAACTAAAACTCAGTTTGATTTCGAAGTAGTTTCATAAATATATTTATTTGGTTGTTGCTAATCGGTTTTCCCTATGTAACATTATCTAATGTACGAAGTGCTGAAATTTTGTATTAACAAATATTTATATTTTAAAGACAAAACGCTTACTTAGAACGGGTTTATGTTAGATTTATAATAACTCCCTGACAAATGAAACTAATGGAACTTTCAGAACTTGATTCATTAAACAATAATAAATGATCTATTGGAAAATAACGCTTGGTGGTTAAGAAGCTAAAACTACTCCCAATCCACATCTTAATTTCTAGTCATCAAACTTTACTTTTTAAAAAGGTGTCCGATGATGCAAATAATTCTGAAGATTTAAGGTCAGTATTGAAGCTTGCGTTTTCCAATTATAGATTTTTGTTTTTCTATGAATAGTCATACTTTGAGGTGCAGATACAAAACCAAACAAGAAAACGTTGTTGTAGATGCATAAACAATAATACTAATCATAGCTGGTTTAAAGCCCCCCAGCAGCACAGCGGTATGTTTCGATACCCGTGGTGGGCAGAGCACAGATATACCATTGTGTAGCTTTGTGCTTAACTTCAAACACACAAACAAACAAACAAGCTAGTTTAAAATATATATATAATTTAAGGACGTGTTGGCTAATCTAGACTGTCCCGTCCCACACAATAAACTAAACTATAAAATAAATCTGTCACGTTTTGTTAACAAATAATAATTTTATAAGAAACATTAAAAACACGGTAATATCAAAAACATCTTTACGATCATATCATTACGATCTTATGTATGGCTTACCAAAAATACACAAAAATGGTTTACCTCTCAGACCTGGCCTGGCATGGCCAGGTGGTTAGGGCGCTCGACTCGCAATCTGTGGGTTCAAATCCCTGTCACATCAAACATGTTCGCGCTTTGAGCCGTGAGGCGTTATAATGTAACGGTCAATCTCACTATTCGTTGGTAAAAGAGCAGCCTAAGAGTTGGCGGTGGGTGGTTATGACTAGCTGCCTTCCCTCTAGTCTTACACTGCTAAATTAGGGGCGGCTAGCGCAGATTGGCCTCGTGTAGCTTTGCGCGAAATTCATAATAAACAAACTCTCAGACCTATTCTATCAACTCTTGGTTCCCACGCCTACAAACTTGTACCTGCACGAAGCAAACTAACTGAGAACGAATTTACTGTTAAAGATTCTTTTTTCTTTGCTTAAGAGATATCTAAATTTTCTAAAGCAAACCAATTCGTTAATGCCAGTTTTGATATTCAATCCTTATTCACTAACACCCCACTTGAGGAAACAATTAAAATAATTATTTCCAACCAAAAATGTCCCGATACCTAACTTTAACAAACAATAATTTGAACGGCTTCTTAAATTGGTGCTCAAGGATAATCACTTCATTTTTTAATGGTCATCTTTATGACCAGATAGACGGAGTGGCGATGGGATTACCTATAGGTCAGACCCTTGCAAATATTTTTCTACGTTATTACGAATGTCAGTGGCTGGATAATTGTCCCATTTACTGCCAACCAGTATTATACAGAAGGTACGTTGATGATACTTTTCTACTCTTTCACAACACTGATCACGTCAAGAAGTTTTTAGAATACCTAAACTCACAACATCCATGTATAAACCTTTTTTGAATTTGATATTTGAATTTAAAACTTTGTTTGCCAACGAAAGGAGTGATAAGAACTGGTGTATATTTTGAGACAGTGTATGACTAAAAGGTAGGTTATATTATTATTTTTTAAAAGTGTAAGAAACGAGTGTATAAGACAGTAAATGTTTTGTTTCGATTTAGGACAAGGTTATGTTTGAAGGAGTCTGTTATGAAACTGTTCAAACGAGTGTATAAGTCAGTAAATGTTTTGTTACGATTTAGGACAAGGTTATGTTTGAAGGAGTCTGTTATGAAACTGTTCAAACGAGTGTAAAAGTCAGTAAATATTTTCATACGGTAAACAGATGTGCCAAATAGATTGTTTAGTTGGACGTCTAAGTTATTGTTTTCTTCCACACCTCACGTAACAATTAAAACATATTACTCACAAATTAAGCTACGTTTAGTATTTACGTCAACATTTAGAATTTAAAATATGGATACAACCAAAGTCGCTCTACCCATTCATATGATATCGTGGGTCGTATATAATTACACTTGTGGTAGCTGTAAGGCTACCTATATTGGTAAAACTACAAGTCACCTAGAAATATGTGCACACGAGCACTTGGGAATTTCAGCTTGAAGCGGATACAAACTAACTAGTCCACCCTCCACGTCTAGAAAACTTTGAAATTCTCGACTCCGGAACCACATATTACGAACTCTTTATTAAAGAAAGCCTCTATTTTCACTGATCACCCAACAGTAAATAATAACATCAACCCCTCCCTGTTGTCATTAATGTAATCAATTTCAGATTCTCAGTGTTTTATTTGATATTTATTATTGTTTTAAAGATACAGTGTTTATACTTATATTTAAGTCCTTCTCTATAATAGTTTCTCTTGACAATGCTATTTATTAAACATGTGCATACCGCACGTTTATCGTACATTCCATTATATTGTTACCGTTTAAATCTTTTCTTTTTAAACTTCCGATTTAATACGAAAACTTGCTCAATAGCTATTGTTTTTTGTTTCTAGTCAGAATATTGTGAATGAACTTTTTTGAGGGTTTAACGCTGATGATGGAATTTGAAGAAATTCGTAAATGTCTTTAATTAAAGATGCTTTTTGGTATTACCGTGTTTTTAATATTTATAATAAAACTTCGTTTTCCACTTGGTTAATTAATGATAATTTTATATTGCTTACTATTTGCAATCTCTGTCTTACGAAAGATTTCCATCGAAAATATAATGTGTGAAACTTTCTTGCAGCTATTAGAGTTAAGCCAGGAGGACAGCCAGGTATACAACAGCCAGCAATTTCAAGGCGGCTACAGACTTCCTCTAACTGGTGAAAAGCGACATCTATATAAAGGCTTTATTCGAACGTGATTATGCCTTCCGCCATAACAAACATTGGATAATTATTATTATTCTTCATTTTTTATTACAGTTGGTTAAAAAGTATAATAATTTTGTCCGCATTACAATCTTCGGAAACTTTTTTTGTGTAAAAAACATTAATAGTTTTCGAGATTTATAAATAAATGCACATACGTACACAATAATGTTACATTGTGGGTTAAGCAGCTTGAATTTGGTTGAAGAATAAAAGGTAAAAAAAATATCCTTTTATACAAAAGATTGAACGTGGAAGAGTTAACATTTTCAACACAATCTGGGAGAAAAGTGAAAAGTATATAATTGAAAAATTCTCAATAGGTAAATATCATTGTTCACATTATTCAGGAAAAGTAATCAGAGTTAGAGTCAGTAAAATTAAATATTTTGTGTGTTAAATAGCAAGAGATTTCTTATTAGTAATCATATCTAAAGTACATTATGTTCATTACTAATCGTATGCTTGTTTGTTTTCAGTCTTTAGGCTAATATTGCCATTATAAATTGATTGTATAACAACTATGTACAACCTTCATCAAAAAGTTTATAGCATTTGGATTGATAGAGAAATAGACGTATACAATACAAATAAAATGTATTGAGGAAAAATACAAATATTTGTAGAATATTCGATAGAGCAAGCTGAATGTCGGACAAAATACAGACAGACAGACGAACAAACAAAAATTTATTTAGAGGATATTTATTTTCAAAGATTAGCGAGTATAAAACCCTGAACAAAAAACGTCTTTGGTTTAAAAGCAAAAAAAAAAAAAAAAAA